GGCCCCGCACCCAGGAACTGCCTGAGCCGCCGCCGCGGGGCCCGCAGAGTGGACTGGGCGCCGCCCCGGGCGCTGGCGGAGGACAGGAGGAGGCGACCTGGCTGCGATGGTTTTGCGGTTTGGTTGTGTGAGCTTTGCTCGAAGGGCTTTCGTTACTTCTGACTGCAGGTGTGGTGAGCCTTGCCGCCCGGCTAAGGAGCGGCGGGGACTGTCGCCGGGGTAACCGGCGGGGGCGGGGAAGAAGTCCTGGGTCAGCGCTTTCCTGCTGCCGCGCGGGGGAGGGACAGGGGCTGCGGCATCGATTCCCGATACTGCGTCCGGGTTTCGGGATGCCAGCCACGCTGCTGCTGCCTCCTCAGCAGAGTACTTTTTTGGACACTGAACCTGAGTGACCAGCACAGAGTGGGGCGGCAATTGATTACCAGGCTTCAGTGTCCAAAAGAGTCTTGTTTTAAAAGCATTTATTAAAGTCATTCTATTATATCCCCCTCGTTTTGGGATGAAAGTGAAGTTAGCTGATCTGCTTCTATTGAAAGGTTTTAATAAAAACAATCGTTAAAATGAATCGAGCACTTAAAATGCACCTAACTTTGAACCAAAGACATCAAGGTGCATCTTCTGAACCCTCAGGAAGACCCATGAAATGATAAGTTTCGTGGCTTAAAAAAAAATGGAGAAGTTAAACAACTCCTCCCACAGTCCTGCAGCCACTAAGTGAATGGTGTTAAGATTGAAACCCTAGTGTCTCTGCCTCCAGAGCCACTGTAATCCCATCTCCTACAGTAGCACGTGTAAGCAGAGGAATGACATGGTGAGATTTGCAGATTAGAAATATCTCTCTGGCTACAGTTTGGAGAAGAGAGTGGAGCTGGGAGAACAGTCAGGAGGATCTTGATGTCATCTTGTTAAATGGTACTGGATTAGGGCACAGGTGTTTAAGATGGAAGTAAATAAATATGAGTAACTTTAAATGTTTTTTAATTTTCAGGATTCAGCAATTTATGTTAGTCACAGAGTTAGGGAAGGTCAGAGAGGTAAAGAGAAAATGTTTAGTCTGCAACATGTAAAGTTTAAGGATTGATGGGAGTCCAAGTAGAGATGCTGATTAGACAGTTGTACAAACCAGAAGCCCAGGAGGGTTGTCTGGGCAGGAGATGGGGATAAGAGTTAGGAATGAGCAGTGTCAAGTAGTAGTTGAACCCATGGGATGCAATGTGGTTGCCTAGTGAGACCACGTAAAGGTGGAAAATAAGAGGGCTGAGGACAAAATCTTGAAGATCAAGACTTAAGAATGAGCAGAATAAGAGAAGCCCATTGAGAAAACTGACCACCAGCCAGAAACCTATGAGAACATTCAGAAGCATGTGCTGGCATTTAAGCCAAGAATCTCTAGTCTTTCAATAAACATGAAGAAAGACTCAGGTTTAAATACCACAGAGAAATCAAACAGGCTAAGAATTGAAAAGTGTTCATTGAATTTAGTAACAAAACATCCACTGGTGACCTTGATGAGAGCAGTTTCAGTGAAGTGTTTAATTCAAGAGCCAGATTGCAATAGCTTGAAAAGAGAGCAAGTGGAAACCACAAGTGAATTCTTTCAAAAAATTCTACAAGTAACAGTGGCTGCAGCAGGAAAAAACAGGAATCCAGACTTGGCCAGGGTTTGTTTGCTCTTAAATGGTAGAGACTTAAGCATCTTTAAATAATAGACATCTCAACAATTTAAAACAATTTTTTTAATGGGCAAAGGATATGAATACACATTTGTCCCAATAAGATATATAAAGGGCCAATAAGCCACTGAAAAGATGTTCAACATTATTAGCCATCAAGGAAATGCAAATCAAAACCGCAGTGAGATATCACATCACACCCAACGGGATGACAGTAATCGACAAGACAGTCCATGACAAGCGTTGGCAAGGATGTGGAGAAATTAGAACCCTCATACATTGCTGGTGGGAAGAGTGAAGACAACCCAAATGTCTATCAACTGATAATAAACAAAACATGGTATAGTTTAGTTAGTTAGGTCTGCCGTAACAAAATACTATAGACTGGGTAGCTTACACAACAGGAATTTTATATCTCACAGTGCTGGAGGCTAGAAAGTCTAAGATCAAGCTGTTGGCAGATTCAGTATGTAGTGAGAGCCCTCTTCCTGGCTTGCAAACAGCCACCTTCTTACTATATCATATGGGGGAGAGAGGAAGCTCTGGTGTCCAGAATAGGCAAATCCATAGAGAAAGAAAGTAGATTAGTGGTTGCCAGGGGCTAGAGAAGTGGGGGGCAGAGGGGGAACAAGGAGTGATTGTTAATAGGTACAAGGTTTCCTTTTGAGATGACAGAATGTTCTGGAATAGTATGGTGACGGTTGTAAAATCCTGAAAATACACTAAAAACCACTGAATTCTTTAAAAGGATGGATTTTGTAGTATACAAATTACATCAATAAAAAAAGCATTTTAAAATGACAATAGGGAGTGCTAAAAAGGCTTGGGAGTAGAGGGGATGATTGAGCTGAGGGATGAATAAGCTGAGGGATGAAATACTCAGGAGGTAGGCGGAGCAGAGAGTGAGCAGGGCTTATTAATTGTAGAGATTAACCAGACAGGTGGAAAAAAACCTCTTCCATTGGAGTAAGAGGAAAGGTGAGGTTGAGTGTGGATATTGATGTTTTGTAAAGCAAAGTCAAGGACGAAGTCAGAATTTGGCAGAAAGAGAAGTACCAAAATTTTCACTCAAGAACAAAAAATGATTAGGAGGTGACAACTACCAGGTGAGGTGAGACAGAGGATGAGAAGATGGGATGGCCTGAGTCTTGAAAAAAGCAGAGATTTGTACACCTAACTAGAAGGGCATTGTCCAGAAGCCAGATGAGGAGTGCCCAACCCCGTTTCCCACCCTAGGGCTGGTGTGGGAGGTGGCCCAGTCTCTACCAGGGAGGGGTGCTGAGGAGCTTGTGGCAAGGAGACAGAGGAAACACTCTGTGCTAGGTTAAGGATGAAGAGGAGTTGATTTTCCATGCAGTTCCAAAAGGCACAGGAGCAAGGCTGGAGGGGGAGGGGAGCAGAGTCTCAGGTCAGTGGACTAAGCCTGCACGAGCCTGAGCTAACATATCAAACATATTAAAATGTGGCACAGCCCACAGTAATAACAGAGACTTTTTAGTGTACATTTCTGGAAGGATTTTTATAATATTGCTTTTAAAATTATTTAGCCATGAATAACATTTAATTTACCTTTGTCCGTGATTTTCCTGTCATTGCTCTCTGTAGTTACTAATTCTCATGTAGTGAGAAAATCAGACCTACAAGTTACTTTCATGGGTCATCAATGTTTTATGAATACCAATTTTAGCAATTAAAAAAGTTGACAAGATGGTACATTTTGTAGCTACTTAATTAAATATTCATTAACTTTGATTGCAGAACCGTAGATTAACTGTTTCATTTTCATAGGCTCCTGAAAGGCTTGTAGGCTCCAGGCCCTGGGTCTCCAACAGCATTGCTGGTCTGGTCTGTGAGAGAATAAACAGAGCGTTATAAATCACAATTTAGCCTCTGCTTGATGACTCACAGTCTCCACATGTAGGGCCATTTGCTTCTGAGTCACATGGACCCTTCTGCATCTATTTTTTAGTCCTTCCTCCATTATGCTGTCAGCAGTCACTTTGTGCTATCGGTTTGCCTCTGATAAACTTCCTCTTTCACAATTGGCAACTCGTAATTTGTTCTGGTTAGGAAAACAGACATGTTCATGAGAATTATTTTTAAAACAAAAGCAAACTCAGAGTGCAGTTCTGAGCCTTTTTGTGAAATAAAGTTCATGGATTTCAGTACATTGACTTTTGACTTTATAATAGCTCTTTTACTTACTCAGCACTTATTCTTCAAGGCTGAGGTTGTCAAAAGTCTAATACAGTTAGGATGGTTAGATTCTAATACAGTGAGAAAACTTACTGTAATAGAGGAAACATCATTAGATAAAGAACACTCCCGAGTCTTTCCTGAGCGTATGTTACCTAAGCAGATAAAGCATCTCAATGCTATGTTTCATCTTAGTGATAGAAACTTCTCGTGCCTTGGCCAGAAACACAGGAACTTGTATGTTTTATCCTTATTCTGAAAGTACGTAAATTATCTCATAATCAACTCCAATTCACTGATCAGCTGGAATCGTTTAGATGCGCCACAATAAAATAAATCAACAAAGCCATATATGTTTTTTAAACAGGTTTATTGAGATACAGATCACATATAATTCACCCATTTAAAGTGTTCATTTCAGTTTTTGTATATTCGCAGAGTTGTGCCACCATCAACATAATCGATTTTAGAGTATTTTAATCACCCCCAAAAGAAACCACATAACCATTAGTAGTCACTCTTTATTCTCCCAAACTTCTCACCTTCGGATAACTGCTAATCTACTTTCTATTGCTATCAATTTGCCTATTCTGGATATATATATGTTAAACAGACTTTAAACATGGTCTTGAGTTTGGAAATGCTGGTGCTATATGATTCTCACCTCTAAGGCAGAAGGCCTGGGGCACATCACTTACTTTTTCTCTTTAGATTCTTATCACTTACAGAAGTGTAACATAGCTGACAATACAGGCTTAGCCTTCTTTAATGTTTACTAAGCATTCTGAAATTTTCAAATACTTAGCAGAAAGTGGACAGTAGATTAGAATAGCCAGTAATACATCAAAAGCATCCTTCTGCACATGGCTTCTCTATCCCTCATTATACCCTTATTAAAGTGGCCTCTGACATCAAAGAAATACATTATTGAACAAAGCCAATATTCTCTTGATTGAATTAATAGTATACAACTGAATTCCACATTATTCTAAACCCTTTTTTAAAGAATAGTTTAAATCTATACCCCCTCTTAGCTTTTAATTAGAATTCCAATTCTGTACAAATAACAATTTCCCTTCTATGTTTTCTCACCCCTTCCTTTCTGTACTTAATTTATGGTAGTGTGCTAATTAATAATGTATGGGCCAAAATTCTGGCAGTAAATGAGGAAAAAATGAGAAGAAAATATGGCATATCTGGAAGTACATGCTCAACTTTTCTCACAAGGTATAAGATATAAGACCTCGGACTCTGGACTCAAACAGACTTGGGTTTGAATCCTGGCCTTGTTACTTCCTAACTGTATGACCTTGAGTAATTCACTGCTGTGACTCTGTTGCCTCATCTTAAAAATGAGAGGAATAATAACACTTACCTCACGGGGTTGTTTCTGGATTTAAATACATCAGAGCAGTGGAACTGCTTAGCACACTGCCTGATACAGAGCGAGATGTCAACATTGGTTGTCATTGCTGTTCCTCATAATATTGCAACCAACAACCCTAAGGGAGGCTCACTGGCCTCTTTGTAGAGATGAGAAAAACCAAGAAAGAGGTAGTAATAGCATGCTTGGTAAAGTACTTTGTGATATGTGTGACACACATTGTCTCCTTTAAAGGCTGGAGGGCTTGCTGCTGGTCCGCTCCACTGCGTTTGTGATTTGTGTATATTGTACCCGAGGACGTTTGGAAGTTACTCAGACAATATGGTGTGCACAAGCCCCAAAGAGAAGGAAGTCTGGGGGACTTGCCATCATGGCAGAAGAGGAGCTTGGAATGAGAATAGGAAGGAGGTCACTGGGGTCCATACTGCCTCTCTGTCTACAGGAGGACAATTCCACAGGAGGCAGAAAAGTGTGATGGCTAAAAGGACAACTTCGAGGGCCAGACCACCTGGGGCTGAAGATTGCCTTGTCATTTCTCACTTAGTTCATCTGTGTAGTTAGATAGTAACAGGATCCACTTCACTGTGATGAGGATTAAATGAGCTAGTATATGCAGACAGTATACCGAGTGGTACAGAATAAGCATCTAGTATTAGCTCAAGATTCCTGCCCTCCCATAATGTGTCAGCCACAGTGCGATAGGAGAGTTGCCCTTTTCTTTGCTAGACCTTTCCACCTGGATGCCCCATAGACACTTGAAACTCAGCATGTTCAAAGCTGAAATTATTTTTCCCCAAAACTCATCCTTCCTATGGTATTTCCAACTTTCATGAGTGGTGTCACATCAACCAGGCACTCAAACCAGAAACCTGGGACTCAATCCAGACTGCTTCTCCCTCCTCTCCTGCACAAACATTTGCAGATCAAGACTATTCAGTTTAGTGTCTTAAAATGTCCCCAGTCTGTCTCATCCTGCCATCCCCATTCTCGTTGCCTCAGCTCAGGCCCTCATCATCTCTTGTCCCATTTCTGCAGCTGCCTCCTAACCCTCACAGTCTGGCTCCAGTCCTCAGTCCATTCTCCCTGAAGCTGCCACAGGACCTTCCTGCAATGCAGAACTGATAGTCTCCCCGCATCTTAAAACCTTTCCTCGACTTCCCCATGCCCACCAAGACAAAGTGCAAACTCCATCAGCTTGGCACAGCAGACCCTCCAGGATCTGGCCCTGACGACCTGCCCCACAGCATCTGCTGCCCTCTCTCCTCTCACACCTTTCACCCCAGCCCTTCCCAGGTAGAGATGCTTCTCAGATGCTGTGGAGAGTCTCAGTGTCTTTGTATCACCACCCCGTCAGCCTGAGATGCACATCACCAATGCCCCTGCTCATCTTTCAGAACTCTTCCCAAGAATTCCCTCTCTTCGAAGACAGCCCTGGCCACTTTCCTCAGGTAGAATTGACCGTTCTCTGCTCTGACCACAAGTGTCTGCATTCCTACTCTCCGATAATAACTCTGATGCCTCTTGACATGAGTTATTTTCCTACCGGGCCATAAAGCCACTATGAGCAGAGATCAATGTGATTCACACCTCTAGTTGTAGCCCCTGGCCACTACCACTGTCCCTAGCACATGCTGGTGACCAGGTAAACAACTTCACCTGGGCAGGTATTTTAATAAGCCGTGAGGGCTGTGCATTTATAGCTAGAATTTTTGTGTTTACTATTAAAGTACATTTACTTGTATTATCTCATTTAATCCTCCAACAATATATGATTGAGTTACTACTATTATTATTGATGCTGTTTTACCGGGGTAGAGAGAAGTTAAATAACCTGCCCAAGGTCACAGAGCTGGGAAGAAGCAGGGTCAGGACTTCAACTCAGCTTTCTTACCCCAAGTCGATTACTCTATCATGCCTCTATCTCCCAACAAACCAAACAAACCCTTGTGAAAAAAATGAAATGTTTATAGCTTTTTACAAATCTGGAACCTTCTAGGAAACTAGGATGTCTAGCTGGAGTAGGAGAGAAATCCCTGAATCCATCCTATCGGCAGGAGAGGCTTCTGACCTGAGCAATAGAAGATTGTAGTTGGCTAATGGTTTTTGAAAGGTATTTGGGATTAAAGTGAAACAATGAAATCACTGAAAATGGTTTACAATTTATTACTCTCAAGTTTTCATGTTTCAAGAAAAGCCAGCAGAGCTGTTCCATAGTGCATATTCAATTCTCTTCCTAACTTACATCCTCCCAAACTTCATTTTGGCCTCCTCGTGCAATCTTTTTATTAATAGGGCATTGTTCCGTGACTCATTACACAAGTCGAACCTGCCTTGCTCTTGCTTCACCCAGTTAATAACATCAATAACGTTAGACCCAGCCTGGTGCAAAAGCCACAAACACTGAATGTGAACACTACCATGCCAGTTTGGCTCAAAAACTCCTGGGACAGTAAAATTTACACCTTCAGGGGAAGCAAATTGTTCACCTGGAATCTGAGGTGATTTTTTCCCTCCTAACGAAGCCAAGAAGCTATTCAAAGTATGTTTGTAATCTTCTTATCACTCCCTGCTTTGCATGCATTCAAGAATGCACAAGAACACGAAGTCGTATTGTGCTGAAGTGCTTCTGGAATGAAATCCTCATACCAACAAACGCTGCCATCACTCTGCTTTCTCTGTGCTTCCATTTAGATGGCTCCATGGAGTAGCTGAAATTGTTGGTGTTTTCTCTTTAGCTTAGCATAGGTAAGTTAGGTATTATATTTGATACTTTGTCGATACACTTAAAAGACATTGCATAAAAGGCCTTTTGGATCAGGTGGGTGTTTTAAGCCTACCCCCAAAAAAGTGTTTTTGTTAAACAATTTGAATACTGGAAAATTTCCTGAGACCAGCAAAATTCTTTATTAGTACCAATACTCTGAGTTTAATTTTGCCTATTGATGCTAACTTCGTAAAGAAAAATGGAGAGAAGGAAATTAGCATTTGTCAGCATTTATGATGTGTTGGGCACCGCAGTTAACCTACATGGTTTAATCCTTATCGTAAACTTCAAGACAAGTAATGTGATCTCTGTCTGAAATTGAGACCTACCAGGGCCCAGTCCATTGTGCAGCACTGGGATTCAAACCCAAAGCTGTCTGGTTCCAGGCCTGCCCTCCGCACTCCGCTCCCACCATGACTGTTCTCTACAAATCCAGATTGGTCTGTTTTAGAAAAGTCGTGCCGCAGCCAATTCTGCCTCTCTCATTTTGGAAAATGGTTTTCCAGCATTATTCTCCCTGTGGGTCTGGTGCCAACGCTAACTTTACAGCTCTAACCCCGTGTGAAGGATCCATACGAGGACACATAAGAGCATTTGCTGCCCAGAGTTCCCGGTTCTTAATTGAAACCTCTGGCAAGACCCAGCTGAAGCAAAGAAAATTAGGAGGAGAGAAAGTGAGGCCTTTACTCAAACAGCTGGAATGGGGTAGAAGGTGTTGAGGACATAGAAAAGGTGCGGGTAAACTCCTTTGGGAGGTCAGGATTGGAAGTGGGTTTTCTCTGCTTAGAGGTGAAGAGAGATTTGGGAATGTTTCAGGGAGGAAATAGCCTTTAAACAGAGACTTGGCCTTGAAGGATGGGGAAAACCTCATTTCAAGCAAAAAGGAAACCGTGAACAAAGACACAGAGGCAGGAAAGTGAGTGCATTGGTGGGAAATGGGGTATTAATAGTGCTGTATTATCAACAACTTTGCTCTTCATAACAGCACTAGGGCTCAGGTATCTGCTCTAAAACAATGCATTCCATGACCAAGTATATTGTAGTCTTTTCTTGCCGGAGGAGCAATCTTGCAAATGATATGCTACATCTGGAAGTTCTGCTTTTTGAGTGGTATATATTTGTGTAGAAGCGGTCATGTTAACTGATGTGGACTTTAAGATCCTGTTTCATTTTGCTTCTGCAGAAGGAAACTCCACTTGCCAATGCCGCATTCTGGGCAGCGAGGAGAGGAAACCTGGCTCTGCTCAGGCTGTTGCTGAACAGCGGCCGGGTGGACGTGGACTGCAGGGACAGTGTACGGATGAACTCATTCGGTATACGCATGCCAAGAGCACGCCATGTCCCCCTCGTCGGCATGAGAGCACCACCTAAATACATTTCCCTTCACACTGCTCACCTACCTTTTTGTATTTGCTTGCTATATCCTTTTCAAAAAGTCCAAGGTACCGTGGTGAACTTAAAAATATATCGGGGAAATATTTACACGCATAAAACAAAAGGAGGCCACAATAGGGAATGGGAGGCCACACTTCACTGGGAATCAGAATTGGCAGATTCCAAAAAAGAAAGGGTTAGAGAATTCAAACCAGCAGCTTTCGTGGAAAGGTGGAGATAATTTAGAGCAGAAGTGGGCTGCTGTGGAGGTGGGAGTTAGGTTTTTTCTGCAAGGGTGAGTGAACTGAGAAATAGAAGCCTCCACCCAGTCCCTCGTCCTTTCATTACTTTTGCAAACATCAATACATTTGTTGTCAATTAAGGGGAACTAAAAATGGACACTATTGCCCACTGGCAGTCATCACTTAGGGAGCCCTTACCTCCCTGGCCAGAGGCACTGATTCCTCTGGACTCAGCAGGATTTCTCCACATCTCCTGGGACAAGGAGGACCTAAGATGAGAAGAGAGAGAGCAGAAATGTTTTGATCTTAGGATCTAAATAAAATGTTTTTCAAAGGAGCCTTCTTGTTTTCCTAAGGAGCCTTATTGTTTTCCTGAAAACAGGATGTGCCATTTCCAGCTTTTATTGCACAAATTTGGTAATTGAGATCAGCCACCAGCTTGCGGGAGACAGGGTTTGCTTCAGTTCGCCCGCCCACTGGGGGCATCGGTGGCGGATATCCTGGGTTTGCTCCTTCAGAGTCACTTGCACCCTTCTCCAGTGTCCTCTGTGGCCTGGCCTAGTGGACTCGCTTTCTTCTGGCTTCCAGTTAGGTTTGGCCAATGGGGACATTGGCAGGGGTCAGAGGGTGGAAAGATAGGGACCTTGGGGAGCCCATTGCTCCCCTCCCCAGTTCTGTCTGACAGCAGGACTCTCATTCTGTGTCCTGGGAGCCACTACCTTCCCTTGGTGCCTTTAGGCCTGGGCTGGCATTGGAACTCACTGTTACTAGCTCCCAGTCCTACACTGTTCTTTGTAATGTCCCTACACCCAGAGCAGAGTTTTATAAATAGTCCCTTTATTAAACTTTCTTTCAATCATCCTAATTTGAATGTACCATCTGTTCCTCTCCAGGACCCAGACTGGGCATCTGCATACTGGCCATGCAGTCTTCTTTGGGTGTCACTGGGCAGCAGTGCCACACTGGGCAGGACTGGAGTAGGAATGCTGGTTTTCATTGTGGCCTCACCCATCAACCATGTTAATGACCACTTTTTCCCTTATTCTTGAAGCTACACCTTCTCAGACACCCCTATGACCTGCCTTCCAGCTTCCCAGGGCCACCACGCATTGCCACACATGTGCTGCCCCCTAGAAAACCTCACGTTCTCAGCCTCTTCCGTGCCCTTTCCCCATCAGAAGTTACCTCCTACCACCACCTCCTTTTTCCTCAGGACTCAAACTCTTTCTCTGTCTGCTAAGTGACCAGGAGCTGTTTTGATCAAAAAAAAATTGCTTCTATGAATAGATACTAATACGTTTATAGGTTCTGCCTCCTATTTAAAACAAAAAGCCATTTTATCAGAAGCTTTCTGGAGAGATGATTCCTTAAGCCAATGGAGCAAGTCTAAATGATGATAATTCTAGGTGCTTGTTCATTGTAAAAGGACTTCTAAGATTGGTGGTAATTGAGGGGCGGGTTGATGTTCGGGTCTGGCACAGGCCTTTGTTCCTGTGGACATTTCGTTGGGTGGGTTTCGGCCTCCCTGCATGTTGCCTGCACATGGAGTCTAGATTCCAGGATGGTTTCTTCTTGTGGTAAATGATCTCTGGGCTAGTAGCGCCAATGGGGCCAAGCCTCAGAATTACCTGGGATGCCTGTGAGAGCTGATAGAATTTGGGGACAGGCCCCAGTGCTTTGCTGGGCACTGCTCCGAACCTCAGACCATGTTCAAACTTTTCCAATGAATAGCAGTGTAAAGAAAAAATGCATTATCTCTAGGCAACCCACTTTATAGCAGCACTTTGATTTGCTAACATTCATCCTCACTTCCTAGATTAATGTTATCTTCACATGATGCTTACATTTTTTTGCTTGGCTCATCTCTCTGACACACTTTAATCCACAAAGATGTGCGATGGCAAGGTTCTTCTATGCCTTTTTAGACATATGAATGTCTGTATATTACCATCTTGCTCATCGTGGTTTGTACTACATTTATATCCATTATATCCTGTTCGAAATCAGCTCATTTTAAAAGACATTTTAACATCAGGCAGTGAAACAAAGTAACCTTAATCTTTAGAGAATTAAAATCAGTCAAGCTAATAAGTTTTGAATGTAAAGGAAATATTTTCATGTAGCTTAATGCATCAACAGATACCACTTCTTTATTCTCTTTCTCCTTTATCTCAACCTCCGATTTCTTCTTAATTGACCCTGATGTAGAATTAAAATATAATCTATAAAAAAGTATTTTTTGTTATTTGTTTCATTCATGTCTCCTCACTTTAATACAGATGAGCCTACCGTTTTTTGTTTTAGTTTTTAAATATCCAAATTAAGTTCTCTGTGCATCCTCTGGCTCACGATTAATTTTTATTCTAAGGCCAATGTGACCTATGATAAAAAAAAAAAATTCTCACTTCTCATAGCTTGTATGTTTTAACTGGTTTTAAAGCAAGGTTTGTTCTATCCTCAATCTAAATAAAAATTTCTCATATTCAAGAGGAAGTTAGTAATACAAAGCTTGCCACTCTAACCTTGGAAAATATGAAAGAAGGGTTTCAACTGCATAATGGATGATATAGCCTACATGAAGGCCTTACATTGAAATACAAAACACGGTCACATGGGATAGAGAAAGTACCACAGAGCACTTCCATGAAGCCATTAGCCTTTCTTGACTCTACCTATACTTTTTATTTATAGCAAACAAGACTTCCAAAACCAGCATTAACATTCACAGAAGTCAACAAAAGCCAGATGATAACCTAACATTTACTGAACTGTTATTTTCTAACAGTTGCTGAATTAAAAATCTAACATTATGCTAAGCACATTACCTGAATTATTTCATTTACCTATTTAATCAGGCAGATACTATTATTATTCTCCATTTTACAGATGAGGAGAATGAGCCTTTGGAAGGTTAGATAACCTGCCCAAGGTCATACTGTCAGAGCCCACTGAACTATACTGCCTTTCTACAAAAGCTCACAGATGTAAATAACACGAAACTTCTAAGAGTTACTTATCCCTGTATCCTAGAGAGCCTTATGTTCAGAACTGTCTGTCTCGTCATCTGCTCCTGGAAGGCAGTTTGCTAAGTATGCAGAGGTGGTAGTTCAGATTACAATTTCAAGCCCTCGTAAACAACTATACATTAAACTACAACAGTCGACTTGAATTAAGAGGTCCACGCCAGATGGTACACCTCAAGTCCTTAAACCTAAAAGCTGGAAGAAGCCTTGGTGATCACCCCATCTAACTCCTCATTTTAAAGATGAGGTAAATGAGTCCCAGGAATTGTAAGCAATTTGCCCCAGGTTACACTGTTTGCTGGGATCCTAGGACTTCTGACTCTTACTTCTGTAGTCTCTTACTTCATCGTGTTGCCTTTTATCTCTACTTGAATGAGTCTTAAAGACTTTTAAACTCTGAAAACCAACTGGTACCATTTAACCCATTTTTTGCATTAGTAGCAGTGTTTTGGCTCAGGGATCATTTAATATGAATCATAAAATGAGGCCACTACATCACTGCTGCCTTAAACTACAGTAACCATGGTTCACTTGGCCTACATTTCCAAAGGTAATGAAAGCAAGTGAATTTTTAAATTGAAAATTCCAGCCTCAACAATTTGTTGCTTTGCTTTTTCTCATCTAGTTTGCTTTGTAAAATTATTCATAAGACATTTTTATCACTGTGGGAACTTTTGTGCTCTCGGACATGCCCCGAGTGGAGCTGACATCCCTGCGGCCTCAGGACCCCTGTCTGACGTACGATGGCCTAATTGTTCATCTGTCTCTCCTCCATTCAGCATGGCACCACACTCCTCATGGTCGCCTCCTACGCTGGTCACATAGACTGCGTGAAGGAACTCGTTCTCCAAGGGGCGGACATCAATCTCCAGAGAGAGGTAGGTCAGGTTCTGCACTTGAAGAAGAATGACCCAGGTGACAGAGGCTCAGAGTTTTCACAATAGTGACTTGTTAGGAAGGGCAAGTCACTGCTTTCCTTCTATGTGACCCTAAAGCCCAGATTTCTGACTTTGTTGTGCCTAAAATAAGGCTCAGGAGCTGGTTGTGGTGCATGTGGTGCAGTCCAAGGTGCCAAACCTCTAACCATGTTCCTTAAACACTCAAACATTTCTTCCCAAGCTTAAATCAGTTCTTCCTTTCACTGAGGTGAGATGCTACAGAATTTATAGGATTTTCATGGAGATCATCAAAGTTTTAGAACCTGTTCTTAATGAGGCTCGCCCGATAGACTGTCTCAACCACCCCTGCCAAACCACGTTTTCAAAGGATTTCTCTGACTGGCCATGTATTAAATAAGCTCTCCCTGGAAAACCCATGTGGTGAGCATCAGACTAAAATATGAGCCTTTTCCCACACCTCACTCAAGAGCGATCTCAGGAGTTCCATCTAGCCTAAGGATCCATTCTTGGTCCACTGCAGAGGACCAATGGGAGGCCAGGGCATTCTGACATACTTTGGAATTCAGGTCTGAGAAGGGTCTATATATTTCCAAGCCGATATAGGGCCCGGGAAATTAACCTTCATGGAGACACATGCACAGGTCATCCCTAGAGGGAATCTGACCTCTCAGTTCACACTGACTCAGACCGGAGATGGGCATCCTGGGGCAAGCTCCAAACTAGACTGGAGCATTTGGTTTTCCTTGATCCACTCTTATCCACAGGCCTGCCCTACCATTGATGTTTCAGAAAGGAGTATTCATCAACCAAACTTTCATCAAGCAATGCACTCCACCTTCCAGGCTGGACCACCTTCCCTCCGTGGAGCCATTTGAGACACATGAGGAGTAAGGGCTGGATGTTTCACAGGGCTTCTAGAATTCCCTCCCATCTCCCCTCTGACTGTCCTTTTGGCCGTGGATCATGGGAGAGTGACATTTAATGGACAGAATCTGGAGTCTGGTTCTCTGTGGCCCTGGATCAGCAAGTCCGGTCTGTTGAGACGAGCAGTACAAAGAGACTACAGCAAATCCAACCAGTCTTCTCACAGATTCTTCTGCGCAATTTCCATAACACTGGATCATTGTTTTGGGTTATTTTCACTTCAGCAGCTAATTTTCTTCTTGGAAGAAAATGTTTGGGCCCATTTAGAATTATAGTTTAAAATTACCCTAATCTTTTTATTTTTCCTCTTTGCTATACAGTCTTTTTTTATTTTGACTTTAAAGAAGAGACAGATTTTCTCTAATAAAAACAGTATGATCCAGATCTATTTACTCAAAAACTTTATCCTTAAAGGCAAGTTCAGCATGCAGAACAACTGAGAAAAGCTGAGAGAAGAAGAGAAACATTCATTTGATTTCCAGCCAATGTATAGCTTTTATGGTTTTATATCTGGTTCCAATTGTGCAGATAATGTTTTTGAAGATGCAAACTACTGTGCATTGAACTCGGTGGCCCTTGAGGACTTACCAAAGTGTGCCCAGTTTACAGGTAACCTGTATGGCTCAAATGATGATAACTATGTAAGTTCCTGGTGGTTCCCTGAGGCCATGGGTCTGGGACAATAGATCTGCTGAAGCAGAGAAAGGCCCCAAGCTCACCTCCTCTGTTTCGGAAGCTGAAAGTGCTTAGCAGTGCTGTGGAATTTATATAATGGGCTTTTCTACCTTGATTCGTTTGTAATCCATTTTGCAATATTAGGATATCTGTTGCCTGAAAAAGCACCTGCCGCTGTTTTCTTAGGTTGGCTATCTAGACACACAGAGCTTGCTAGAGAGACAAACTGGAAGCTGGTAGTCCTCAAAGACCATTTCTCTAGAGAACCAGCAATAGTGGCCGAGTAAAACCGTCAGGCATAGGAGCTGCACACGCAGTTGTCACGAAGCCCTGGGTGTCAGCAGCAAAGCCTGTGCATCTAAGACCTCTATTCACAAACCAGACTGAAGCCTCGCTCCTACTGTCTACAGATTGCTGCATGCATGTGCACAGTGACTAATAGTATGTACATTCCAAAGCTGGCTCAAACTGCTGTAAATGTGATTTTTGTAATTAATGTATCAAAAAAGCGTATTGAAAAACAAATCCTTTCTCTTAATGAAGAAACAACTCCTAGAAATGACCCTTAGTAGTTTCTAAAATTAACGTCTGTTAAGAAGATGAGAATTTTTCTAATCTAGCCGAGTTTCTCCGTCCCGACCTTATTACATCTTAAGGTTTCTGGAAGCCAGCATACTTCACTGCACGAAGGCAATGGGTGGATGCCTCCCACTCGTTTTATGGAAACCAAGGAGAAAAGCACTCCTGCATCGCAGGCCGAAAGGCTCTGTGAATGGGCACATCACCTGTGCTTTCCTGGCGTTGAGTCTAGTTGGGGGCACAGTCTGAGATAGAGGGTTGTGTCTAGGAAGGTGTCAGCAGGTGTCTTACCACAATTGTGGGCATCATTGATGCTGTCACACACACATATGTTCACATACACATGTGAACACACTTTTAAGAAAAAGATTCATAGTGATCGGTAATACAGAGGACATGCTCTCCCTGGCTTCTCACACCTAGGTGAGAACCTAACACTGTAAAGCTCCCAGCTAAGCCATGGAAAGAGGGTTTTCTCTTCACTGTGTCTGGGAAAGTGTAGTTAGCTTCATCCTACAACACAGCACTAGACTGAAGAGCATCTTTACATGACAAATATATGTTGCTCACTAGAGTGGTGTGGTGATTTTGCTCAGATTATACAATGACTTGGGTACCAATCTTTGAGTAGTTTGTAAAAGTGCCTAGGAAGAAAGGATGCTAAAAACTTGTGTCTCAGAATATCATTGATCAGTTTAATTATGCTGAGTGAAATAAGTCAGACAGATAAAGATAAATACCTTATGATTTCACTTATATGTCAAATCTAAAGAGTAAGAAACAAACTAAATGAAAACAGACTCACAGATAGAGAGAACAAACTGGTGATTGCTAGAGGGGCGGAGGGTTGAGGGGCTGGGTGAAAAAGGTGAAGGGATAGAAAAGTATAAATTAGTAGTTACAGTCACAGGAATTTAGAGTATAGCATAGGGTATTAAAAAAAAAAGGTAAGTTTAAAATTGGAATCAGACTGTTTCTTGTTAATACGTCCTGTTTGGGGCAATATTTTGAACCTATTCGTACACAGGTTGCTTTTGACTCTGGGGTGATAAATTTGTAACCAGAATTATTCTCCATATGAAATAATGCCAGCGTAATCTAAATACTGTACCAAGCATATTAGTTTCCCATGGCTGCTGTAACAAATTACCACCAACTAGGTGGCTTAAAACAATGGAAATTTATATTCTCATGGTTCTGAAGGACAGAAAATTGGAAGTGTCCACAGGGCCACACTCCGTCCGGAGGCTCCAGGGGAGAATCCATGTTTTACCTCTTGCAGCTTCTGGTGACTGTTGGAGTTCCTTGACTTGAGGCCCCATCACTCTGACATCTGCCTCTGTGGTCACATTGCCTCTGCCTCCTCTCTGCGTCCGATATCACTCTGCCTCACTCTTTTAAAGACACTTGTCATTCGATTTAGGGCCCATCCAGATAAGGCATGACAAACTCTGGCTCTCAAAATTCTTAACATAATCCCTCCTTTTGCCATATAAGTAATATTCACAAGTTCTAGATATTAGGATTAAGACATATCTTTTGGAAGTCCACCATTCATTCCACTACACCAAGAATAAAGTTTCCCTTCATCTTATCACTTTTCTGACCAAGGAATATAATCAGTTCGAATCTAGCCCCTTCCTAGGCTAGAAGGTTTGTATGCAAGGATATTGTTTTGTTTCATTTTGTTCGAAAATGTATAAATCAAATGTAATGTAACCAATGTCTTTTAAAACCAGCCTCTCTCTCTCCCAGTCAGGTACAACTGCCCTGTTCTTCGCTGCCCAGCAAGGCCATAATGACATCGTGAGATTTCTCTTTGGATTTGGAGCATCCACTGAATTTAGAACTAAAGTAAGAGAACTTTCTTGATTTCATACCCTCTTGAAGAATTTCAGCAGTCATGAGCACTCATTTCTCTTCAGCTATGATATAGATTTGTGCTTCCCTTTTTACATGATTTTCAAGCCCGAGAAGGTGAGTTCCATGAAGTTCCTTGTAATGGTTCACGGGTCAACCTAGGAACTCAAAACATGACATTTTCACTCTAGGCTCACGATTGGAGAATTTTATGGGGAATTACTTAGATTCTTTTTTGCACTAGTAGTTTTCTACTCTGGGACACCAACTTTTGTTACCAGGATGGATACAGTAGCAGATGCTTTCAACTTTCCCTGTTTTCATGTGCTTTTTTTCTGCTTCAAGCTTAATCCTAGTATTATGATAGGAAATTTTGGAAGTATTAAGCCGATCCTAGGGAGTTAGAGATTTCTAAGGAGAGTGATTTGGCAGGCAGTTTACTTTCTGAGATGTCCTCACTGAAATATATAATATGTGATTACAGTTTATATAGTTGGGCAAGGAATAGTGGTTCTTCCTTTAAAGAAGTCATTGATTCTTCATATGGGACATGTGGTTAAGAAAACAGACTTCAGAAAGATTAATTTTATGTTCACAAATGATTTTACATGATAATGTCTTTAGTAGGAGAATTTGAACTGCCATAACGTTTTTGTAATTGTCAACTTATTTCTTGCCTAATTATAACAAAAAAATTGATGAAAATTTGCCCAAGTTGGAAACTTTGAAGTTTTCTCAATTCATTGTATATGACATTTCAATATCAAGGGAGTTTCCAGTGGGTTTTTTTCTATTGTGATACTATTAAGTAGATCTGAATATCAGCCAGGTTTCTGTCTTTTCTGAAACCTGCTGTTGGACTTCATACATGCCTCCAAACACACTGAATATAATATACAGTAATTCAAAATATAGGTGTGTATATAATTATAACTAACATAAAAATAAAATCATTTTATTTTTCATTGTAAAAGTGATACAACTAAAAACAGAAAGTAAATTTCTATAAACCTAAATTTCAACTCTTTGAACTAATTCAGAATGATCATAGTTGGCCATATGGCTGTTTCAGCCTTCTTGGTTAGCAAGTTAGTGCTGGCTTAAAGCTTTTGTACATGAGCCAGTCTGTGCTGTCCCAGAAATCCATGGAACACAGGGCCTGGGGGGAGCCATTCTAAATGTTTCCATTAGGTCAGCTGCAGGTGTCCAAGAGCTTTCCATGGGAAGAAGAGTGTCGGGAGGCTTTGAATTTTAATATGGTCCTGTCATCAAAACTGACTTTGTGTCAACAGTTATTCTTATTGTTATTAAATCTACATCTCCAAAAATGTATTTTTAAAAATATAAGCTATCAGCTCTTCTGTGACCATCATCATATTTTATCTGTTCTCTAAACTCATCAGGCAAAGAGCTAGGAAAATTCACAGACCAAAACTTGGAAATGTTAGTGCTCACAGCTGCTATTAAGCAATTTCTTGATGCCCACCCACCACTCCCACACCCTCACCACCACCTCAGCTCTCCAATCTCTCTCCTGCATTCCCTGCCCTTTAAAACACAGCTCTACCCGACCATGCATCACGTCCCTCGCTGAAGACTTACTCGGCCACTTGCATCCTCCAGGATCTCACTTGCCTGTGAATGCAGGATCTCTTCTAACGGTTTCTCCAAGTGAGGCCCACCTGCCACCTGCTCACCACAGTCACCTCACATGACTGATCAAAAGGCCTATTTCTGGGCCTCGCCCAAGACCTACTAAATCTGAGGGTGGAGATCTGAGTGTAGCAGGCATTTTGAATAAACACTCTAGGCCCAAATTTTAAAAACCCCACTATCTTATATTTGCGATTTGCATTTTAGAACCAGATTACATGTTCTTGCATTAGTTACAGTTAGTTCAAATGTCCACATACCGATTCACAGAGACAAACCAACAAATATCCCAGGTGGGAAAAGATAATGCTCTAGCTGCAGGACCTGAGAAAAACCATTAAGGGTTTTGATTGACCACAAATTCAGTGAGTCAGTAATGTAATGTGTTGGCAGAAAGGTTAATTCTAATTCAGGCCACAGAAATAAAAGTAGAGTAGATGGAACAAAGGAATGTCCCACTCTACATCAGACCACGCTCACTTCGTAGTGCTCTGCTTAGTCCTAGGGCCCACATTTTAAAAGAGACCTGGACACATTGGCACCTGTTCAAAGGAAAATACTAATTAGGGTGGTGAGAGGCACATGGAATATACTATAATTATCCACTCTTTTAATGGATGCAGATCTTGTCCCATGAAGGCAGTGGCCCCAGAGGGTTACCTCAGAAAAGCACCTTTATCTTTTGGTTCTACTGACTGGGTGGAACCACAAGGAGAAGCCAATGTTTGCCAAGAGGGTCTCTGGCCAGAAGCCACAGGAGGCTATTCTGGTAATTCCAAGACAGAACTTATTGGTACAGACTTTCTGTTATTTGTTTCCTTTATTGAGAGGCAAATAGATGATTCTGCATTTGACATGAGAAATTTCTATTTTTATTATTTTATTTTTCAATTACAGTTGACATACAGTATTATATTAGTTTCAGGTGTACAATATAGTGATTAGATATTTATATAACTTACAAAGTGATCACCTGGATAAGTCTAGTAAACATGGGAAGTTTCCAAATTAATTATAATCACTTAGTCAAACAACGGGAATAATAAATCACAAGCAAGTCATCCAGTGTACAACCTAATGGTGTCCTTAAGATGAACTCTGCTATGATTATGCAGAAAAAGTAAGAGGAAAAGTGAATTTGTTATTATCTATGAAGAAATTCTTTTCCAAAGTTCTCACTATATGAGGAGCATTTGTTTGGTGAGATTTGTGCCTGGACTTTCTGATGTGTTTATGCTTTGCATGTCCGTAGGACGGGGGCACTGCCCTGTTGGCTGCCAGTCAGTACGGGCATGTGCAGGTGGTGGATACCTTGCTGAAGCACGGAGCCAACATCCACGACCAGCTTTATGTGAGTTTGTTTCAAGGGGACCTTAGGTAGACACTTGCTTATTCCCTCATCACAAATACCATAGCAATCTAAATTTGAATGCCAGAAGTGCCAGTTTCAAAAATATTTCAGTGACCAATAGGATTTAATCTGAGACATCAAAGGAAAAATACATAGTTAACCAGATGATCTTCTTCTGTGTAGAAACCACAATCTTATTTACCCATCTTCATTCTGCCCTTTTAAATCTCTTACACATGAAATAGTTCATGTACCTATGCAATTAGGATCTTCAAAAGTCATGTGACACATACTTATTCATAACATGATGAGCCCAGCATATGGACTTGCTGAAAACCAAAATAAATTCTGTTGTGGAGTTTTTTGAGAGGAAGAGCACCGAAATGGAGAAATCAATTTATTTGGAAGAGAAGCGAGGTTAGGTGTATAAAGACCTGTGAAATACATGCACATCAACGACCTTTCAAAGGCATCCACTGCTAGTATGGGTCTGTTTGCAGCTAAGTGGCAATTAACACATTTCCCAAGCGTTCTTTTAAGTGATTGTCATTGTAATTCCTAGGATTTATGGCAAATATGATTCTGGTTTTGTAGGAGAAAATAAAATACAGGGAGATGAAGTGACTTGACAGAGTATCATAGCAAGGAGTAGCAGAATTCCTGTTTCCAGTGATCTAAAAACCATCTTTTAGGCTATCCTACCACTCAACATTTAGTCCTTATGCCTAGGGCACCATATACTTTCACAGACATGTAATGGGAAGTGTGGGTGTGAACTTGTCCATTTGAATATCCTTTCCAGAGTTTACACAGTTAACTCTAACAAATCATAGACCTCTTCAAAGTACATAGCAACTAGCCTTACCCTTTGCACTTCAAAATCTGCAACACTCTGATTGTGCAGCATTCCCAGTCGAATGACTGAACTACTTGGTAATGGTCTAAAGGAGTGATTCTCAACTCTGGCTGCCCATTAGAATCACCTAGACAGCTTTAAAAAATACCACTTCCCAGGCCCACCCCTGACCAACTAAGCCGAAGTCTCTGTGGGCACATCTTGAGCAATAAGTGGTTCCGATGTGTGGCCAACTCTAAGAAACCCAGGTATACGGCTTTGGCTGTTTCTTTGGCTGTACATAGGTGTAGTATATGCTAGTGTGTGCATGACCGTATGTATGTGCGGGTTGAGTGGGAAAAGCCCAAGACTTTGGAAAAGGAAAATAAGTTGTGATTTTCATAGCATTACCATTAGCAGTCAGCAATCCAAACTGATGGTGGGTATAGAATTGTACCGTTAGGTGATATTCTTCCCTAAAGGCTCATTGGCATGGCACGTAATCTTAGAAATATAGAGTTTGGGGAAAGCCCATTTCCACAAGAAATTCTTCTCTGTTATGAGGTGACTCAAGAAATTTCATGCACCAGAACTTATATTTTCTGTTAAGACTTTTACCCTTACCCAAACATTCCAATGTAAATGTTTCCATTAAAAACAATTGAAATATTGGAAATCCTTGTCAATGATCTCTGAAAACTTCTAGGAACATAAATTTGTAATGCACAGTAAAAAATCCAATGCATAGATAACCATTTTAGAAACTTGCTAAGAATTATCAGCTGCTAAGGGCATATAGAACTTTCTGTGGCAACGCGGTAAGGAGCAGTTGAAATTTTCATCCCCATATCAAAGGGATGCTTAAAAATCTGTACAGGCTGATTAATTTTTTAATGATTGCCTTGAGGGGAGTCTGGCGGGTCAGCTGACACCCACTGGAAATCCAGCACCCTCTACGTGATTGGACTTGCAGAGAAAGGTGCTTTGTATTTTCACTTGTGGTTAGTGTCCTGATGGGAGGGTGGTAATTAGCTGGGGTAGCTAGATGTTTTCCACTAGGATGCGCTCGGGTTTTCCACTGCAATCTAAAAGTAATGAAGCTCGCCGTGCTCTGTGCACGCTTCCATATGAAGTGAGCAGCTGGGGAGGCTGCATGCCCGCAACTGACCCATGTAGCGTTGAAATTACCCAATGACACATCTTTGAGAAAAATGAAATGACCAGAAGATGTAGACACTCAGTTTAAAAAAAAAACAAAACCTAAAAAAAATTGGAAACAAACACTTGCTTTGGGCTTTTGTGCAGGATTGCTTAGTTGCACGGTAGGTGTTATGGGTGTCTATTGGGCTAGCAGGGAGCGAGTTCATGGATATTCTTACGAGGGCAGTTATTCTGAAAGCATTGTGTGTTTTAAAACTTAGAGACATTGTAGGTTGGGGAGATGCAGATAAAGGAGCAAGAATGAGAAAAGAGTAAGGAAGATCTAATTCAAAGGATACATTTACTCCTGTTTAAGAAAAGCACACAAAATAGGTTTGGGGGATTTGTTTAGTTTTGGTTTTCATTAACAGACTTTATTTTTTGTTTGTTTTTAACTAACACTTAGCTCTTAATTGACAAAAGAATTGTGTTAAATATATGCATTTTTAAATGTAATTAAAAAGGGGATGGACTCATATCATGCAACAAAAACAGAAAGCAGCTAATGAGAAGTCTATAGATAGGAGAAAAATGGCAACTGGATATTTGGAAAACCTGGGTGCTACAACTAGATGTATCATAAGCTCTAAGATCAAGATTTTGTAGAGGGAATAGTCATTATATACTTATAACTTATTCTTATAAAACTGTCTATTTTAAACTTACCTTTCAGCCTGACTTAGTGTGATGTTTTAGAATCATTCTTCAAAGAATAAAACACTAACCATGTATGTGAAAAAAAGAGGGAGATGGAAATGGAAAATTATATTAAATGGATGTACTTTAAAATGTGAAAGATGATTTTTTCACACTTTCAATTTGCTGTCTCTCAGGATGGAGCCACTGCACTCTTCTTGGCTGCCCAAGGCGGTTACTTGGATGTTACTCGATTATTATTGTCTTCAGGAGCAAAAGTCAACCAGCCAAGGCAGGTAATGCCTACGTGTGCAGGGAAGTGGGCAGGGAGGGTCTGCTGTCCTCCAGCAGCTCCTACCTAAGTCAGCTCTGGGCGTCTTTAAACCCTATTTCTTCTGTGATGAAAGTTAATCTTTGATTAGGGTTTCTCCTGTTTTTTGCTTTGCGCTCACTTGAAATCAGGCCGACATCACCATTTACTATTTTTAAAACTTGGGTGTTTGGTGTCTGAGGTCGAGTACACACTCTGCCACCTCCTGTTCAAATAAATTATGGCTACAATGAGGTAATGAGAGTAGGCCAGACTGGGACATAAGTAAATAGAAGTGCGTGAGGTGGCCTTGTCCCTGCCCAGTCTCTGCTGATGTGCTGCCGTACCTCTTATTCCCACTTCTTCCACCAAGCCAAAGAGGGGCCCACGGGAGTCATTAGCAGGTCCCACACCTTCATGTTGAGACATCATTTACCAACAGCAAGCTAATTTCTGGCAAATCAATTAATTCACATTTAAAGGAACAGAACTGCAAGGTAATACAGGCCACACTTTATAAATGGTGAGGACCATTCAAATGTAAGGCATTATAATTAGCTTCTCTTATGTAGGAACTATTTCTGCACTAATTAGTTTGTTTTTAAGAAAATATTTCAGATTAAGGTAACATTGCTTTAAAGATAGTTTTCTAGAGAGAAGTCAAGTTGACTTTTTACCGGTAAATGACACCCAGGCAGACTCTCACTGTAACGTGACCTGCTTTGACAATACTTCATGTTCACATAATGAATAGATATGGGAACCTTAAGGTCAATCCAAGCTCTTGGCCATAGGCTTCTTCAGTCTTAAGGAAGTCCAAGTGCATAAAGAATCTAAGAAAAGAAAAAGCCTTTGGGTAAAGGGAGTTTGAGGTCAGGAATCCTGCATTCTAAATCCAGTCTGCCAATAGCTAGCTGTGTGGTTTTGAACACGTGAATCAACCTCTCTGGACCTCTCTCCCTCTATCTGAAATTTAGGAGGCTGAGCGGGATGATCCTGATGATCTCTTCAACTCCCCAATTTTTGAGAATTGTCATATTCAATGTTCGGTCAATATTTCTTGAGCACTTAGCATATGCCAGACACTGCTATGAATGTAAGGTTATATTTTTAGAATTTTAAAAATATCCTTAGGTTTAGATGGCCCTAGGAATACTTATGGGAAAGAAAGCTTTTAGAAAAAGTTACACTTGCATACTTGCCAGAGTTGACATTTGGGGATTGGAGCTTAATTTTTTCTTGTTGGTCTTTATTTTAAAATTGTTGAATGATTCTGAATCAGTCTTCATTTTACCAAAACTAATAAAAACAATTGGTTATTTTTAGATTGCATAAGTTTGACTCGGAGAGCATTATTGACAGTACAGTTGTGAATTTAGAATGAGAGATTATGAAGATTATCAAGTCTCTCCTCTCTCTCTCTGTACATCCTTCTAAAATAGTTTCTGACACTTTGACAAATCTATTTATAAAATAAGTTCTATTATTCATATGCCTAAAGTACTGTATGAGAAAATCAAGTTGACATAAGAGATTATATATCAAATGTTGCGTGGATTGTGTCCATTTAAACCTAAATTGAGCCATGTGATGACATAGAAACCAAAAAGTTAAAAGAATGAACCAACATTGCCATGGTAGCCACAACACACCACAGTGTTTTTTGTTCCTCAGGAGTGAGGATAACCGGGTCAAAGTGGATGACCTAGTCTGACTCTGTTTACTGAAAGTGGATGACCTAGTCTGGGAGTGGGAGGAATCTACCCTTAGGTCAAGGAGCAAGTGACATACCTTTCCAAAGGTTACATTTAATGCGATTGTTTGTAATTGTGAGAGCCCAGCTCTGAAAAGATTGTTATTCAAGAACAGGGTGTTTTATAACATAAGAATTGCTTTGGGGGAAAAAAAGCAATGGAATTTTCCCTTTTTATAAAGCAAGGGTCCTCAACCCCTCAGCCACAGACCAGTACCAGTCAGAGGCCTGTTAGGAACCAGACCGCACAACAGGAGGTAAGATAAGGGGCGGGTGAGCCAGCGAAGCTTTATCCGTATTTGCAGCTGCTCCCCAGCACTAACATCACCGCCTCAGCTCCACCTCAGATCATCAGGCATTAGATTCGCATAGGAGCACAGGTCCCTAGTGCCAAAAAGGTTGGGGACCACTGTTTAAATATATAGAATACTAACCCCACTTTACCCTTTCTACCCCACAGCTACCCACTGTACCTATAAAAGCCATAATCTTTTTACTGCCTGCCATGAGCTTATAAATAAAAGGTCAGTCTAGTCCAAGTTCTGTCTTCTCTAAAAGGGTAAACTCTGCATATTTAATTTCATTCCAGAAAAACAGGTAGTGTCATAAATATAGCAAAAGTGATATCAGCCTAGCTGCCTTTGTCATAGTTATGAGGAGGTTAAGAAGAAAAAGTCTAATTAAAACTTTTCGTTAAAATGGCCTGCACATGATTGAATATTGTATAGGTAGGGCATTTGGAAATCTTCTATTATGAAATCTCAGCTGACGCACTGAGTCGTCAGAAAATTCTTGGATTTATAAAATAAAGACAATGATATTTGCCTCATTTAATTTCTTGATATTTTTAGATAAATCTGATTTATAATTTTTGCACTGCCATTCTATGGAGTCCTGACATTTAATGGCACACTGTAACAAGACGTTAACCAAGTTTCTCTGAAATTATTCAGCTGACATTTGATCTGAGCTGCAGGGAATCTGAATGATGACAGAAATTACTTTTCCTTGTAATTCTATCACTGACGAACTAACTGAAACCCTTTTTAATATATTTATGAGAAGGAATTATAATTACAAAGCAAGCAACAGGCAGACTTTGGAAAAACTATGTTTTTGATTTGAAACTTGAAAAAATTTTTCTTTTAAGTTGTCCTAGATAAAGAGGTTAAGAGTTGTAGAGATCACTGAAATCCATAGTCGCTCTAAAAACTCATTTTCAGTTCTTTCTATGGATCTTCACCAAGTAGAGTTGATATAAGTCAAACCTTATTTTTTAAGGGTGAAATATGTAATCGTCTTTCTACACGAGAGTAGCATTTTTCACAGAAAATACAATATTGAAATATTTGTCAGCGATAAACAATGTTACTTTAAATTCAGCATTTGACCCAATATTATTTTCTTTCAAGTTTCATAGTCAAACATTTCCTAGAGGAAGTAGAAGGATCTTAGGAACACCCTTAAAGGCCTTCACTCTTAGATATAATGGCCACTTAAAAAGTATTATTAAACTTTGAACTCTTAACAGTTCCAGATAAAACAAAAATGCCAAGACATAAGATTAATTTCTACACCCACTTAATCAAAATTCAGTTAAAATTCTATTCTTCGTTGCCAAAAGGAAAATGTTGGGAAAAAGAGTGTGTGAGAAATGATATCTTATCAATCAAACCTTTTTAATCATTAGCTGAGATGGCTATTTATTCTGTTTTTCTATTAACAAAATGCTTTGACATATACTTTTCCCAACTCAACTCACTCACCTTATTAAATAATACTTTTATGATACTTTTAGTGAGTGGTAAAAGTCTGACTCTGTTTACCCAAAGCCGAGATTGGCCTGTCGTCATTCATCTCTATCTAGTCCTCTTACTGTGCTAATCAGTATTTCTTTGAAGCCTGGCAGAAAGGCCATCTCATAAAGTGCCTTCTCTAATAGAATCCTTGGTTTGGACTTGTATGCAGAGAGCCTGGGACCTAGATAATAACAGTTCTTCCGGGTTGCAAGCTTGGAGGGGTGAATCAAGTGGTGGGCAATGGGAGAAAGTAGAGCCAATGGATTGGTGCAGTATCCTGAGAGCTTGGACATGGGAACAGACAGCAATAGGGTGGGCCTACCACTTGTGTTCCCTCTGTGCACGGTAGGAACTCAGAAGAGGTATGTTGACTCTGGAAGGTGCCCTGTGGCTTGGGCAGAGTGCCAATGACATCTGAAAGGCTGCAGTACACAGTGATCAGGGACCGGAACTAGGACAGACTCAGATGGAGCGCCCAGGCTCACAGGCAGGACACTAGTCCCAGGAAGACTGTGAGAGCCAGCCAGGGAGCCAGACCCAGGTCTTGGAGAAGGTTGGGATGGGGGTGGGAGGCTGCTTGGTTGTTATAGAGATATGGATATCTTAAGGAAATGAAACATAGTCTCAGTTTGCTTATTAACTGCATGACCTTGAGCAAGTCATTTACTCTCCTTGAATCTTCATTTTTTTCATTTGTAAAACCAAGATAACAATTGTACCTTTACAATAGGCATATTGTAAGTATGAAATAATCCCTGCAAAACTCTTAAAGCAGTGGCTGATATGCACCAATTGCTTAGTAAATGTTAGGTATTGCTATCATATTTCTGGTCCATTAGGACTCACTGGAACAGAAAACCCATCAGAAATCAAGGTTGTACTCTTTCTCTTGTGAGCCATGTGATCTCTGTCATCTCAAAGTCCCATCTTGCTTCTTTTTCTCTCTCCTCACTCTTTTTTTTTTTTGGTGGGGGGACAGTTGCTCTGCTTACTTATCTTATATGTGGTCCTCAAGTTTACAGGTCAGACTACCAAACTCTTAGGGTAGCCATGTCATTGTTATATCTCATCTTTGTACACCAAGCCACAGAGCACTGGCTGGGCTGCCCATTCTTGGTCTGATCACCTGTGGCTGGGGAGAATGGAGTCAGGCTATGGTCAATACAGGCATCTGGTAACATCTTTTATATACCCATTTGCTGGATCAGGTACACTGAGCAGGGACACAGTAATGAGAAATGGGCTCCAGGTAAGAATAGGATTGGTAGCAAAGTTGTCTCAATACTGAACTCTGTCTGCTACCAATTAGGTTCCTTATACCTTTTGAGCCGCCAACTCAGAATAGAATTGGACTTCAAGACTTTCTGTATGCCTGGAGCCTACAAGTGAAGTAGCCTAAGTGTGAGGACTGGAAGATAGTAGAAACAAAGAGCTAGTGCCACTTAATATACTCATTCCCATGGAGGAGAATGGTTTTAATTATTTTTTTCTCAATAATCTTTAGGAGCCTAAAAAGACTATGTAAGATTTAGTCTCTAATACAAATCTTATCATATATTCCATCTCATGCTTTGATCTATCTATAAAAAATGTATTAAAGGATCCTCAAAAATGTTAGTGCAAATGGAATGAGGGAATAACAGAGTTGGAAGGAACTGCAAAAGTCACCCATTGAACCATTCGACAGGTACTTGAATCCTTTCTCTAAGAGTCCTGTGGAGCTGTTGGGGAATCCTTCTAGGTATGGAGAGCTCTCCACTACCTCATCAGCTCATTTAATCTTTAACCAGCCTTCATTATCATTTCTTTCTTACATTTAACCAAAGTCTCTGGTAAATTTCACCTGTCAGTCTTTTAATCACTTGGTCTGCAAAATAAGTCTAAATCCTTTCTACTTGTTATGCACACAAGTAGTAAATGACAGCTGTAATAACCCCATGAATCTCATCTCCTTCAAGCTAAGTGCTCTATTTCTTTTTTTAAAAAAAGCATTGTAGAGGTTGTAACTTACACTTCATGATGATTTATTCAATTTAATATACTTTAAAATATATGTATTTTTGTCAAGAAGTATTCAAAAACTTATATAAATGTTTTAAATATTTTATTCTACTCCAGTTCTCACCAAAACTCTACAAAAAGGAGCTAAACTGACTGAATTTCCATCATTTCTATTTTGAAGTCGTCTTCAAAATGAAATTCTGACCATTATAACATAAAGAAAAAATAGAAGAAAGCAGAGATTGAGGTGTACAGAAGAGGAAGACTTCTCCTATTCATAAACCATATAATTGATAAATAATTTGATTTGACAATAATGCTCTACCTCACATTCAACTCCCTGGGTTCAAAAACCAGATTTGGACAAGTAACGGTAATGAAATACACAGGTGTCCCCCCAAATCTCATTTTACCAATTGTTCCTACCTGCTCAATCGGTTATCCTGCATAAAAACTGGGAGGATCAAATTAAATAATGCATATGGAAATGCTTTGTAAATAAAAGTAGAAATTAAGGTACTTGCCATTTTTCCTGATAAATAACTTTTGAATTCAGTTACCATGTTCGAAGCATCTGTTAGCCAGTCCTTGTGCTCAGCACCTTTTTATATGTTTTCTCATTCACAAATATATCTGTGAGTCTAATATTTTTGTAGAAGGAGACACTGAGACACAGAGTAATTTACCTGAGGTCTCATAACCGGGAAATGGTGACTTCTTTTTCCACCTGCTGTAACTATTGTAATTAAGGTGATAGAATTTCAGTGTTAGCATTTCTGTTATGATATTAATAGTTGTTCCCAATATAGCACCTCTCAGCACTTTTCAACATACTAGTGTCAATTAATAGAATTTTACTGAAAACAAACCCTCTGAAAGCACAGCAAACAGGCTGCTGGCCGCCTTTCCTTGGCTGCCCTCCCGTGGCGATATTGACAAAGAACAAATATGAACCCAGAGCAGGTAAAGAGGGAGAAGTGAGTGCATCAGCACCTGAGTTCCAGAACAGCCTTTGTGGAACCCAGACTCCTTCTCCTGCCTCCTGGGATCCCACCCACAGCCCTTTGGGCTGCATCCAGGTGGATTTCCCACCCTGCCTGAACCATCTGCGCCTGTCCAAGCCACTGTGACTGTAGATGTTCTTCCTTCCACATGGAATGCCCTCTCCCCTCTCTCCCGCCTGGCAAAATCCTAGTCCTCCTTCAAGACCCAGCTCAGACATCACCCCATCTGTGAAGCTGACCCTGTAACTCCCATGCAGTAAGAAGGCCCCTCTCCTGGTTCATCCGGGACATTTTTGTCTATATTTTGTTATAGCACTACAGTCATACTGAAATCTCCATGTCTCTTCTCCACTAGACTTAATTCCTTTGATAACAGGAACCAGGTCTTATTTTTAGTACTCTGCCTAAGACTAAGAAAACGCTTAATAATTGTTGGGTGGTCGAATGAATGAATAATTCTCCTGAACTGGGAGAATAAAGTTAAAGAATGAATGTAGAAGTGCTTTGTAAACTAAAAGTACAAATTAAGGTATTGTATATTTACACTGATAATGATACATAATATTCAGATTGAAAGGTACTTCTCAGAGGCCCTTGTAAGGGCCAAGCAGGGCGAGGGTGTTTGCAGCCTTCTTCTATCCCTTGTTTCAGCACTTCTTCCCTATAAGTCTTCCAAGGCACAGAGATGCCTCCTGCTGCTCCTCAGCACTCTCAGATCCTTCTAGGCTCTTGATTTGCCACCATCTACCAACCTGTTCAAATGTCTTTGTCCTTTGTCCCTTTGCCAGGACAGCAATGGGCAATAATCCTCTGCCTGCTGTGGCTAGTCGACTGTTGTTGAAATTCCATACTCCAGCAAAAAAGGAAACTTTATATCCTCTAACTGAGTCATCTTGCTCTTCAGCCCCTATTCCCACTGGTGACTAATTCAGTCTTATCTGACAGCCTTTTGGGGCCGTATTACCTGAATTACCTCAGAGGTTAAGTTTAGTCAACTCTGGGTCCTCCTTCCTCCTCCTGCCCTTTTCTCCAAAGTGACCTAAGCTTCAGAGGTCAGACTATCACCTGGCATCGGGGTAGAGGTGGGGATGCTCACGTCTTCTTGTGCTGGCTTGTCTAGCCTCTCTGGTCCCTGGGCATCCTGTATTGGTACTCTGGAGATGCAGCTGGTTCTACCATATGCTGGCTCTGCAATTGTCTCTGTCCATGAAATGTGGCCTTTTTTCCTAACTCCAGGCTTATTCCAGGCCACTGTTTACCTAGCACTTCCAATTTCTCACAGGCAGGCAGGGACTCCTGGGTGCTCAGATGCCTAGTGGACATGGAATAGGGAGATCGGTGCATGTCCCGGGTCCATTGGCCCAGAGAACTCCCACAGTCAATTCTCTTCTCTCTCAGGCAACAGCCAAGAGCAGAGCTTCTGTAAGGAACTTGCAATTTTCCTGAGTTCCATCCCAAAAACAAGAGAAAATCCTTCCCATTCTAGAATTCACCATAATTTTGTATGTTTCTACCACCCTAGCTTACCCAACCTAAATTTATCCCAGAAGGGTGAATTCACTTCCTTCCAGCACTGGAAAGGTTTTCTGTTTTCCTTTCTGTTTGGCAGGAATCACCCTACTGTCAAATCCTTCTCTGTCCCTTGGATGTTTCACCTTTCTTTCCTCTGGAGCAGTACATCTCAGCCTCGTGGCCTAGTGTTCATGGGAAGAGGGTTGTGGGAGGAATAACACACAGGAAGTATTACCCAAAATGTCATCCTGCTATAACTAGCTAGTGTGCAGCACTTCCTAGAAGACACATTATCACATTCTGCATAAAATTAAAGCGCCTAAAAATGATGTGGCTGTGGCAAGTTCTGGACATCAGAACAGAAGAGTGGGAAAAATATCTTTTGTTCTCTGACCCTCAGAGCCCCCCTCCAAGGAAAGTGCTCACTCTTCTGTGGGAATGAAGGGTCCGCACTAAGCCCAGTGTGCTGTGTGAACCCACCAGAAAAGCAAACGAACTGACAGAGCCTTGGGGAAAATAAAGACAGGCTGGCTTCTCCTCTCTGGGTTTGTGAAATTTGGGTGTGCAATGCAATCGCTTCCCACACTGCATTCCATGAAGTCTTGTACCACACTCTGTGATAAAAGATCGTGCCATAAAATGGCTGTTTTATCAGCCAAAAAAATAATATTGGCAATTAGTAAGTAGTCCAGGTAATGCCCAATACCAGACGATGTAACTGACTTGAAATCACCCTCCTCATTTGTCAGCGGAATGTTCTTTCCGGGTGTTAACTTGCTGCTATATGGATGCTATATGATCTTCTACTGATCCAAGTGTGTCCTGTCGTGCAGGACGGGACGGCGCCGCTGTGGATCGCGTCTCAGATGGGCCACAGTGAGGTGGTGAGGGTGATGCTTTTGCGTGGAGCCGACCGCGACGCCGCCCGGAACGTGAGTTTGTGTGAAAACTGCACAACATGGGGATTCAGGGTGGAGAATACCTGCGGTGAAGTTCCAAAGTTTAACTCGGTTTAGAAGTGCGGAGAAAACGTGGCTTTATTTTGTCTGTAACTCACCTGGGTTTTCTCCCAACCTCCACCTGCTCTTTAGCCGGAAAACAAAAGTCTCAATCAGTTGAAACTTAGCAAGTGCTGCTCAGTCTCTTTAAGGAAAAAAAAAAAAAAAAGTTTGCTTCTTTGGAGATGCTCCTCCACCTAACAGGACTCCTGGATGAAGCTAGGAAGACGGGAGAGGGAGGAGCCGGAGTCTGGGGCTGTCCTTGGTTAATGTGCCCCTGGCGCTGCGCCGCCTGCTGGCACTGGGCTGCAGTGCAGCTGGAAGCGCGCGTTGTGTAAGGAGTCCGTGGTTTGGGGTCTCTGCAATGCTCCAGACCGGCCCCGCCTCGCCTGGCTCACCAAGCTGCAGACCCCTGCCCCATTTCCTATCGGCCTCCATTTAACCTTTGCTGGTGTCACCTGATTCTTCTGCCTTGGTGAGTCAGACAGCAGACTCTGTGCCCCCATGGGAAGCAAAAGCAGCTTGGGGAGATCCTGCTGTCTGACCACACTGTGCTATTCTTCTCTTTTCTCTCTCTCTCTTTTCATACAGTGTCTGGACTCTTTGCCCTTAGTATTAGTCCTGCTTATGTGACCCACCTCCCTTTTCCAAGTGGAGCTCAGAAAAAGGAAAGCAGAAGACACGTTCCTGACCACTTCATTTCCCTTCTCCCACTCTCTTTTTCTTCTTTCCTTAGTCTCTGAAGCCAGAGAAGAAAAACCCCCTTTTCTTACCTTCTTTCTTCCTGATTCCAGCTAAACCGTTAGAGCAAGTTGGGGTCTGTACTTTACTGTGGGAAAACTCTGAGAGCTAAATCCTCCAAATGCAGCAGCAGTTGATACATTAAAGCAGGAGAAGAAGGAATTTGGAAAAATTCTTTTTTAAGGCCAAAAAATGATGTCAGAAGTAGAACATTAATTTTTGAACTTGTCTTTGCACTTTTTTTTTAACAGATTTCAATTGATCCTCTTTCTCCTCTCCTCTACCACATACATACTACAGACAAACAGATACCCAGAGCAGAAGAGAGCAAAGTTACATACAAGCGAAGGCAAAATGAAAAGCACATTTTGAATTTTAAAACAGTAAATTAATACAATTCAAGAATTATTTAAACCATTGCAAATACTTCAACCATTAATTTCTGCTAAGTCATAAACTGCATAGAACTCCTCTTTAGTCCATCTATGTCCTAAAAATATGCTCTTGAAATTCCCCTTGTCCCTTACCTGGTGGTCTCAGGAACTGGAAGAATATGAATTCCCAAATGGCAGGATTCTAAGATAATATAAGAAGTCACATATTTTGTCTGGTATTCTTTCACATAGAATTAACTGCTTAATATGCTCTAAAATGCTTCTAGATTGAGACATTGCAGGTCTGTGTTTTATGCATTTTCCCTTTTTCTGACAAGCATATTCCTAATTCTCAACTAATACTTTGTTTTCAGCCAACACACACATATGTTAATAATCAACTTTTGTTTTCCTCTGTCTGTGAAGGATGGTACAACAGCTTTACTGAAAGCAGCCAACAAAGGATATAATAATGTTATAGAGGAGTTGCTGAAATTCTCACCCACCCTTGGTATTTTGAAGGTAAGAGCTAAAGAGAAATTTTTACCAATCTGTAAAAGAAAGAAGTTAGAAATTAAGTAGTCTATACTTGGGAACTGCAGTAGAATCTTGGAATAATTCACATGGTTAGCTGTGTTCTTGAAAGAACATACTTGTAATTTCTTAATGTTGGAGATTCATGGGCACTGGTAGAAATGAGAAGGTGGTAAAAAGAACAAACCAGGGTTTGTCAGTACCTAGTTTTCCAGAAAAAAATTAGTAATGAAATTGCTAAATTGGAAAGTCAACTATATTGGCATACCACTGGAGGATTTGTGAAATCCTCCATAAATCATGAAACACATGACTTTTTGTCCCACAAAACACACAGGACAGGTGTTCACGTTCCTTATCTCCATTACCTGGAGCAAAGAACCATGCTATCACCTCAGGTGAAATAAAATAAGCCTCAAACATCTGGACACCTCAGAGAATGTGTCATTCTGGAGAGCTAGGTCTTCCAGAAAACAGAGCCCCCAAATTATTTTTTAAGTTGTAATCATTTCAGACTAAAATATTTCTAAACTAGAGTACATATGAGGCTTGGCAGTCTTTTTCAATAAAAGGTCAGTTGGTAAATATTTTAGGTTTTGTGGGCCATACAGTCTCTGTTGCAACTGCTCAATTCTGTCATTATAGCACAAAAGTAACCATAGAAAATGCAAAAACAAAAACAAAAATGTGATTGAATTCCTGCAAAACTTTATTTATAGACATTGTGTTTCTGGAATTTCCTATTTTCATGTGTCTTTTAATTTTTTTAATTCTTAGCTGCCAGGACATAGAAAAACAGGCAGCAGGCTAGGTTTGGCCCGCAAGCTGTAGTTTGCTGACCCTGGTATACACTCTCCTGTTTTCTTAAATAGAGGACACCAAACCTGTTCTAAACTTACAACAGTGGCTTAGTGCCTTCAGGGTTTATTGAGGTATATATTCTACCTGCCCTTGAGGGACCCTAGAGGCTTTTTGGATACTCTGATTCTGATCTTTATGTCTTTAGGCTCCATTCTTGCTGTCCGCTGATAAGAGCTGCTCTTGTCAGTGTGCTGGCCTCTCCCCACTGTCCCAATGAGCTACTGCTAATCTTCCATGAGCCTGGAAGCCAGGAAGCTGCACTTGTTAATATTGTTTGTAAAGTATAAATAATAGCCTGAGAAAGTAAACTTTCTACGAATAAAAGAAATGAGCTTCAGAAATGGACTTTGCAATATCTAGTCTTATTTCAAACAGCTCTTTTTTGGCTTGGTTTTTAATTCTGGGCCATGTTGCACACAGGTGCAGTCAATCGATAGGTTGGTTAAGATTTAGATAAGTGAAATGTTACCATATTAGTGAACTGCCATATGTATAAAAGCAAACATGGAAAAATGCTATTTTGTTGGAATTTTTCTCTGGGTATTATATTTTACTCTTTTATAAGAATAAGAAAACTTTTTTTTTTTTTTAATAAGTAATTAATTTGGAAACTAAGCTTGCATTTAGGTAGTATTCACCAGAGACGTATGTACCTTTTGGAACAGATTTCATAAGACTGTCCATCGTTCTTATATTAGGTTTGTGATATTCTCTTCCTCTCCCCTTCCAGAATCTGGCTGTATGCTGCACCTCAGCCGCTTCCTTATTTCAATAAATATTTGTGATGAATTCCATGAAATGTCAGCAACCTATCTACTAGGCCCGTCTATGCTCAGAAATGCTCCAACCCTGGACTCAGGGCTTTCCTCACCCCACATGCTCTTACTCTTATGCCTTATAACTCTAGTTGCTCTCCTTCCTGCCTGCCCTAGTGAGCAGAACATGTGTAGCTGGGCTGACAGGTCAATCAGTTGGTTAGCCAGCCATTCTTCCAGCATTGCCGGAAGTTCATATAAAGCATGAAGTTTATATATGTTGTCCTCAAAGGGAAAAAAAAGTGTTTGACACAGCATTGTTGTTTTTTTCCCACAGCAAGTTCTAACATATATAAAACTGACTGAGTGATCTTGAGGTCATGTGCACCCTGGGCCAGATTTGTTTCACTTGTAAAAGAACATTGGCAGTATTTACACTGACCATCTACTCTGTACCTGAGGACACTATGTTAGATGCTGACATGACTTTGAAAAGGGAATATAAGGAAGTGTAAGGCTCTGATGTTACAGTTTCATCACACAGGCTGGTTCATGATAAAAGCCAAGCCGAGAGCTGATGGCTGTGAGCTCACTCCTGACACACTGTGTTGTTTTCTCTTAGAATGGGACATCGGCACTCCATGCGGCTGTGCTCAGCGGGAATATTAAAACAGTCGCACTGCTCCTGGAAGCAGGGGCAGATCCAGCCCTGAAAAACAAGGTACTGGCCTTACCTTACCCATTTTTTAACTCCATTAGGCACCGACACAAAGAAATAAGGCAGTGTCTACCTAAACTAAGGTAACATCTCTACATTTCTCTGGCTCCTGTCACCATCTTTATACCTCAGCATAGCAATGGCATGTGAAGTTGTCATTAGATTATGAGTAAGCAGTACATTTGGACCCAGAGAATTATACTAAAAACCCTATATCATCAATATTTTTCTGCTAAAAATGGTGCAGCTTCCCGGGGCGGGGAGTAGTGGGGCAGGAGTTGTGGGGAATAGGGTTATGAGTGTTCTGTCATCAAAGAAGAGTCCTAAAAATGTCAAAATTCTGGTAGTTTATCGCCATCTCCCATAAGTTTTATGCTCATATGTTAAGAATTGTTTGTGCTCTATTCAGTGACTACATGGGGACAGTGTTGCTTTTATATTGTTAGCAGGGCTTTATACTACTGTTACATCAACCTATAATTTTTATGAATCAAAATCCTTAGTTTACAATTAGGCCAAATTTGGAGGTGGAAGGTGCACAATAACCATAGAAAAAACTGCCTTATTTCTTCTTATTCAACATCTGCATAAGCAGTCAAATGTACAGATTGGGGTAGGGGCATGGAGATAGTGACCTAGGAAAGATCTTGAGGAAACACTGAACTACTGACTTTTGAAGGAGGAAGTAGGAATGGTGCTTATTCACAGGGAAAGATATGAAAAGTAATTTTCATTTTATACTTATCTACTCTTTGAATTTTTATGTGTCTACTACTGTGTTCGATTTTATTAATAATAAAAACAAAAACATGTAGTACATCATGACATTTTTTAAAGAAACCATTAAGAAGTGCTATTAAACAACATGCCAAGAGTCTCTTTCTTTTAGTTTCACTTAGTGTGTGGAATTATTATTTCCTTGTTCCTACCATTGAACTGTTTGAAGACAACTTTTCTGCTTGCTTCTTCTTAAGATACTTGGATTTGTTTTCCATCAGCTGACCTGGCTGAGTGATAAGCCAGTTGAAATCACAATTGCTCTCTTACCTTTAGACCTTGGACACAGGCTTCCTAAAGAGATCAATCCTCGTTGCTAAGCCATTCAGTACTGAATTAAGGCAAAGGGAAAAACATTACCTTAGAAAGTGAAAAATGCAATTCTTTGTGTGTCTCCCGGGATCTCAGCAATAATGATTATGGGGAATTTCCAGTGACCACAGTGCTGGACTTTGGACCCTCTCTAGAGCTATATGAATATATGTGTGGGCTGCTTATGTTGGAGTTTCATACTACACATGTCCTTAGAGAGCTGAGAGTAGCTGCCAGGGAGCCCATCCACCAGCCACCCCGTAGAAGCCAGCCTCTGAAAGGCAGCTCCAGAAGCAAGGGTGTTGAGATTCTAGCAGCCATCCAGACCTCCTGAGGGGGTATTCTTGGCCTTCATTCATTTATTCATTCATTCAACTAACACAAATTGAATGCCTACTAGATACCACGCACGGTGCTATTTACTGGGGAGACAACAATGAATGAGATTCACAGAGTCTCTGCCTCACGGAGCTCAGAGTTTAGTGGGGAATGAACACAATCAAGCAGTTGTAATAGAGTGACAAAAGCTATTAGCAGGGAAGTAAAGAATGCTGTGAAAGGCTTCCCAGAGAAAGTGACTTCTAAGCTAGTAGAGAAGCAGTCATCTGCTCCAGGGCTTCCAGGACTTCTGCTTGGAGGCTTTGAGTCTGACAAGAGAGTAACCAATCCCAGTGGCCACTCTCCACACTGTAGCCATCCCCGTGGGTACAGGGGTCCTGTGCTCCCGATCCCCAACTAAGGACTCAGAACACATCTCCCAGGAGCA